CGCGGTAGCTGGGCCGGCGGCCCACCTGGTCGGTTTGGCTCTCACTCGGCTCCGGCTGCAAATTCCACGCGCAGACCTAAGCCTCTGACCTGCCACAACCATTGCCATACCCGCCGTGGGGCTCTCTCTGAAACCCACGCACGGAACCGCCATGTGGGGCATAGGCGTGAGCCAGCCCCGCCGTCTCCCCATCACCTTGTGGGAACAAGACTCCCATCCACGCATGGAACTCGGGCCCCTTCTCCGCTCCCCGTGAACCTCAGTGAACTGGTTTCACACGTGCCCATACACTACACCTGACGCTTTGCATCAAGAGGAATTAAGAGCGTTTCTATGGAATGCGTTTGGCGCTACAATCCCCCACCCCTCAGCAGTCTGCCGAGAAAGAGGGATTTTCCTTGGCTCACCCAGCTTGGCCTTGTCCACGGCCGCGTGCCCCTGGCCGCTGCCCCTCTGAAAAGATTGCCCGGGGAACTTCCGCGGCGCTTTAGTTCTCCTTTTTCCCTCCGCACACCCACCCGTGGGCAAGGCCTGAGCCCTGCTGCTGGCCGCTGAGCGCGGCGCTGCCCACGGCTCGCCTGGAAAAGACGCCTCCCCCTTGCCCCCCTCCCTCTCAGAAACTCCAAGGGCCTTGACTCAGCGACTAGAGTTTGGTCCCCGGCAAAACAGCCAGCAAACTTCTCAACTACTGCGGCCCTGACAGCTGGGAGGGCGCCCGGGCGGGGAACTGGGCGGGTAGGCGGGGCGAGCAGGGCGGGGGCGGGGCGCCGGGTGGGGGCGGAGCCCCGGTTGCTCCGGAAGTCGTGCGGTCCCCAGGGCTCGGTGTTGGGTCAAGCGTGCCCAGTCTCAGCCTCAGTTTCCCGGGTTGGGGTGGTTCTCGAGTCCCCGCGCCTGGCGCAGCGCTGCGTTATCCCCCCGCGGGCCTGGCCTCGGGGCCGGGTGTTGGCACCCACTGCCCCCGCGGTGCGAGCAGCGCCGGCCGTTTCGCCCTGGATTCCGGGGCCCTTTGGCCGAGCAGGGACTTCTTTCAGGGAAGCCCGCCCATTCTCCCTCTCTCCCCGCCGCAGGGCTTTGTTCTGGGACCGCGAGGGAGGAGGGGGCGGAAGGGAGTTCTGGAAAAGGGGCGCATCCTGGAAGAGCTGCACCGGAGCCCATGAGCGAACCCTAGGCAAGACTGTCTTGCCCCTTGAATATTGCACTGACTTCCTAAACAGACTTCCTCGGCTTTGTCTGTTTCGAATTGTAGTCAGAGGGATAAGATAATCGTAAAACTTTTAAAGCCATCGCTGCTCTCACTTTACCTTGTTGGGGACGTGTTTTTTCTTTTCTCCTTTACGCTTCAGGCCGCCCACTGCGACCGTCTTGCGCAATGGGGCTGGGGATGCGCCCGGCGCCCTCAGCCACCTCCAGCTCTCCTGCTGCCCGCGGGGTGTGTCCGCCTGGCCCAGGAGCCCCGAGCGAGCCAGGCCCTCCCCTAAGGGCCAGCCTCGAACTCCCAGGCCCGAGGGGATCCGCCGGGCGGCGGACGGGCCGAGGCCGCGGCGCTCCCGGCCGGAGACCCGAGCGGAGACTGAGCGGCTGCGCCCCGGGGCCTTCGGGGAAGCGGGCCGACCCCCGGCTCAGTGGGGAGCGCTCCGAAGAAGCGCTTTTCCGGGTCCTCCCTTCGAGAGCCCGGAGTTAAGGTCGCTGCTCAGTGGGCCCTTTGGAGAAAGCAACACAGGAACGACCCCCACCCCACCCCAAAAGGTGGGGGCGGGCGCGGCCTGCGTGTGGGCTGGGTTTGAGGAATCTGCCCCGGGGGAGCCCACCTTCCCAGGCTTGAGTCACCGCTGGCTTCCGAGAACAGGAAGGAGCGAGCAGCAGCCATCCCACGCCCCCTTTTGCTCCCCAAAGGCCAGGCCCTTGGAGAGCCTCTGGCCGCCCGCTGCCAAAACGGTGTGAGGACAGAACCGCTCCGCACCTTCCTTCTGCTCCGAGGCTTCCCCCAGACCCTGCAAACGCAGGTTCAATCGCGGCCGCCGCCCCACACCCCAGAGGGCGGCGTCCGGGTGCCTTGGGGGAGTGCTCAAGGGTTTCTCCCCAATTAATTGAGGGAGAACAAGGGCATTATTGTCACCTTAAGAAATCGATTGCTGGTTGCCCCACCACGGCCTCGCTAGACATTTGTTCCCCCCTTTCATTTTGAAGCTGCCCAAAGACGGATGCCCAGAGGCACGGACAGTGTGAGAGCTGAGAAGTTCATACACCGGGAAAGGGGGCTCGTTTTTTCTGCATTCAAAGGGCTTTCTACACGCCCCCACCCCCTCCCGCTTCCAGCGTCACCGTGGTTGAGATTAAAACGACAAAATAGGAACCCTGACCTCCGCCTCCATGAGAATCCAGCAAAGCAGAAAATGCCCTGATGTATTACACAATCGGGACAACATGAAACTGTCCTTTTGATTGTTTCTTGAGGTGAGGCGCCGCTGGCAGGACTCCCAGATTCGGAGTCAGAACATCCTCAGTTTCTCAGCAAGGACACCTGCATTCCTCAAGCTTTTAGATAGAGACACACACCGTGAGACTGTGCGCGCCGAGAGAGAGGACCGCGTAGGCACATTCTCCTTCACTGTTAATATCGGTCACAATGCTCCCCAGTTAACTGTGGCTTGAAAACACACGCCCCACCCAGAGCAGAACACGAGTGGGTCCAGGCTAGCGAGGTTACATTTACTTGTAATCCTACCCCCTCCCTTTCCAATGTCTTTGATTGTTTTTCCCATACGTGTATAAGCCGCCGGGACTTAGAAGCAGGCCGCTCCTCCTAAATGTGATTCGGACCATATGCTTTCCACATTCATTCCCGCTCCGGCTTTTCTTCTCCGCACTAACTGCTAACACGTTATAGTCACCTTGAAATTTCCTCTGCTATTTTCCAATTAAAAGCTTAATAGCCCTGGAAACGGAGTTCATGTGGTGAAGTTTACCAGAGCCCCTTGTTCTAAAAGGCTTTCTGCTGGGATCCCATTATGTGCTTGAATAAACCCTTTCTGCAAACAGAAATGGGACTCGGGGTTGTCAGGTGTTGGGTTACAATAGACTTGGAGGCAGGGGACGTTTTACCAACATAAATACAAACCTGTCCCTATAGGGAGATGTTGTCAAATACTGGGATATGGAAAACATTCCCATCAAATATGAGAAAAGGATTATTATGCTATATCAAGTGAGTATTTAGGTCTCAGCCCCCAATGTGCACTGGAGTGAACCAGCCCGGGACCAAATAATGCCAAGTGGTTTGAGTGGTAAAGGGGATAAGGGTGGCTAGGTGACCGCGGGGGGGGGGGGGGTCGCCTAGCAAGTGGGACTGTCCGCCCCCAAAACCTGGTGCCCAGGTCTGCTGCTTTCCTTAAAAAAAAAAAAAAAAGCTTTATTCCCAAAGATTTTATAGTCCCGGTTTCGCCGTCCATTTGGAGAAACTCCGGAGAAACTAGACTTTGAAAAAAGTCCATGGTCCCTCGCCCCCCACCCTCCGAGACCAAGAGACCCCGAGAGATTTCAGCGCGAACTAACGTTCTCAGATTCAGTGTCATTCTAGTCTCTCTGTGTCTGTCACGTGAAGCGACTCACTGCCAACTCCCCACTGCCCGGCCTCTGGCCCACTGGGCTGCGGGTGACCTACCTCCAGTCCTGAGAGCTTATGAAGTCCCTTACAGTTGTAGTGTTTTAGGGCTTGTTTTCCTAGCGAACACTGGGAAGAAAGGAAGGACTGAGGTGGTGGTGGTGAGGGGATGGGGATGGTAAGAGGACAGATGGGGTTCGTGCCCCACGCGCTTCGGGGGGGGGCGGGGGAGGCCGTCCAGGGTTAGCATTCTCCTGCCCAGGCCCCACCAGGCCAGCATACAGCGATCCCCCATTCCCGGAGAGGTCTGAGCCGGACGTGGCTTCTAGGGGAAGCACACAACCGGGGTCCCTTTTTAACCCTTCTCCCCTCCTGGAAGCACTGTTCTACGCTGGGGATTGGCTACTTGAATTCGCAGAAAACACAGAGGGACATCTTCCGGTAGCTTGTTTGCTTCTAGGGCGGAGAAAAGCGGCCTCCCCTAGGGGAAAAGGGCGCGGCCGGCCAAAAGGTTGACCACTGCAGCGGACTAGTCTGCGCTCTCCTCCCGCATCGGATTACCCGCACCGCCCAGCTCCAGGACTGCCGTCTCCCCCGCCTCGCACCGAGCCAGCGCGCTGCCCCGAGTCTCTGTATCCACCTGTGTTTAGTTTTGTTTTGTTGGGGGAGGGGGTGTTTTGTCGCCCCTGTGTTTACGGCAGTAGTCTGCATTAGGCCAAAAGGGTACTCTTAGGAGATTAGAAACACACAAATAACAATTTAAACGAAGTTTTATGTTGTCATCTTGTGCAGGGACCCCTTCCACGCCTCCCCAAAGACAATGGGGTGGGGGAGAGAAATGGCGCCACCCCTAGCCATCGAGTCCGTGGGGATTTGAACTGGGTGACGCGGGGTCTCCGTTTGATGGGTCAGTGGCTATTGGGCAGAGGGGAGATCATATCCAGTAACTTCTGAGCGTTATCATGGCCCCCAAGTCCATTCTGAAAGTTTAGACCCAGCACTTAAGAAAGTCCTCCGCACGAGCGTTCCCCACGCCGTTCGGGACTGCGATTGTTCATTAAAACTTGGGAGGAGGGTACAGGAATAAACTCGGCGCCAGAGAGGGTGGACTGTGCCTGCAAAATGGGGTTATCCTTGGGCCAGCAAGTTTTCAAAAACATTCCTTTTCTTTTGCAGCAGCACGATTTTTTTTTTTAAGTTGCAAAACGACATAAAGAGACAAAATTTCTCGAATCAGTAGGTTCTGGTTCTCGCGGAGCCGAGTTTCTGAGGCCAAGTGTTGGAATAAAAGCGGGTTCGGCCCCGCAAATAAACCTGGAAGGAAGGGAAGGGAGAGAAGGGGAGCGGCACCCCCCACTCTCACTCCGCCCGGTGGGCAACGCTGCGTCCGGAGCGCCAC